CTTGGCGTCATTTTCACTACCTACTTTGTGGTGCTCCTGTGGCCTCTAGTTGAGCTCTATTTGCTGCAGCGGCAATTTCAGTCTACATCGCTAAGTAGTCTGTTGTGGACCCCGGCATGTGGTCGTGTACCAAGTCTGGGGTATGTGAGTGGCGTAAAAGGGTCCAATTCTACTCAGAGACAACAAAGACCACCGCTCACTAGACACCTCAGACTAGTTGTGTCTAGTGATCATTAGCATGTGTGAACTGGATAACGTACAAATGAGCTAAATGGTCAAACTGTTCAACGTTTATGAGAGCCGATGATCCCGCATGGCTGAAATGGAGGTCAGCCGTGTGTCGCAGACTGCAGCAACCAGATTAGTAGACTTGGATAAATACGGTTCTGTTCACCGCTCTCCTCATGTCGCCCACATCCCCCTTGCACGCTGTAAGCCTCGAGTGAATTCCACCGCACATATGGTTTAAATCACAATATTATCCATTGATACGATTCCAGCCAAAAAATTGCGCTTTCTTTGATGCCATCCCGAAGGAGATGATTGAACTCAAACCTCATACACCTACACGAGCCAATGTAGGAGATGGGTGGAAGGGTTGAATTGGCGGGGTTCTCTGAACACCAGTGGGCATAGACGGTGGACGTGGATTAGCTGACCTCACCGCAAAGACATCCAACCTATGTTACGCGAAGTGGTTTGGTTTAAACCCCGACACCCAAACGAAGATGGCTTATCTCTTGGTGCAGATTCATGCGTCGTCGGTCTCGCGTGGTCCCCGGTAGACCGAAAACAACCAATCTTCACACTTAAATGCTAATTAAAATGAATTCATGGTGTTAATTTAAAAACCCTCAATCGGTGTGGAAGTTGTCGCCCGCATTGGGAGCACATAATTAAAAAATTCATTTGGCCGTTCCATGCGCCAGTTGTCTTTGTTATCGCTAAATTCTAACGATTACCAGAAAACGACGTTTACGATTATATAGGGTCCTCAGTTGTGTGTGTGTGTATTTATCAATACACAAGTTAAGATCGATCGAAAATTAAAACTGTACTTGTTCGATCAATTGAGATCATGAAAATTTTTCTGGTGATGACCAGCCCAAGGCACACGTCTGTCGGAGTCTGCAGTTGAAAAACTTCGTACAGAATCGAAAGGACAGGGCGTCGGCTTCAGATGAAGCCTGCCGTTCGACGATGTCTCCATGTCATGAAAATGTTGCATTCTTTTACATTTCACTACCTTGTCGCTCCTTTCTGAAAGGATGATCGAATTCCAAGTGGGACTAGGGGTAGCGCTACCGTTGCAGCAGTTCGAGTGCGATTCGTTCACAGAAGTCACGCGTGATTTGACTCAACTTATGCACAAACGTTGAGAGGGGTCCGAAGAAGGTGCTTTTAATGCCAACGAATACTTTGACAGTTACAAAAACATTAGTAGGGAAAAAATTGATGGAGTGGGACAACGGCCTCTCAGGGTCATCTATTAGTTTGCATAGTTTAGCGTCCACTGGCAAATGTTTCTCTGCATGTCGATTCGTACATTGTGTCTTTTTATCTAATTCCTTGTTGACAATTGGTCGAAGACGGTGATACCACTTGATGTAAGGAATGAAATTCAACTCCCGCGTCTACGGAACTTTTGAAATTCTGGGTAAGATGTTTTAGTGTACACCGTGGCCTCGATTTTAACTTGAGATTTGGTGTTAAGACTGATGCTTGAAAGTTATCAGCATATTTTGCCTCCCTTGATGGGGACGATAGCGACTCCATGGGATAGTAAAATCCCATGGATTGTGCTCAACGTCGATAGTTAAAATCGATAGAGGTAGAATCACAGATAAGGTAGGAAGTTTTGGGTTGATTAGCTACGAATATGTAGGTAGGAAGGGAAAGATTGCGTGGCAGCTGATAAATTATTTTATGCTTGGGTTAATGTCACAGACTTGATATGACACACACATCAAAAGTGTAATAAATTAATGGAAATAGTGGTGCAAACTAATGGTATGGAATGCCGCTATTTACGGTTGACATGACATTTTATGGAGATGTTTGATTTCATTATAGACCCGGTAATGGCTTCAAATTGAGGGGCTTGGAACCAAACTGGAATTTCACGCCAAACATTTTCTACGAGAAAATATGCCATCAAGTCACATCTAATAGGTCAAATACCAAATCACTACTTATAGGTTGCTTTATTTAAATTTAAAATGAAACGGTTTCATGATGAAACAAATGCGAAAAAACAGCTGCTCTATAAGACCGATCGCTGAATATGTAAATAGTTTAGATTAGCCGAGATAGCTACAGGCCGAAAGGGGTAAGTCACACATTTTGAATTTATATGACCGAGCTCTAGCTAAAAGTTCTGGCACTTTGAAAAAAACAGCAAACACTTCATGTCTTTGGTAAAATTCCTTTTATTTCCATAACTCTTCTCGTCGATAAAAGGCAGCATCAGAAATAAATGAGCAAAAGAGTTTAAAGGCAACTTGGATGGATTAATATCAAAGGCAGCCAAATCAGAAAATTTCCATGGTGTCTGAACCAGTAGAAACAAAAGTGGATTTGAAAAAAATTGACAACAACGGGGAATTTCACAGAATGTGCCTTGATTCAAGATTTGAAATATCAGTAAGACCTGATAAAATAAATTTGTTCCAGGTGAGAATTGACGGCCATGTCTTAAAGAATATATTAGAATACATATTATTTAAGCTAAAGTTCAATGTCTGCAACCAAGCAGTTTTTTAACCTCTTGCCTATAGAGAATTTCATTTCGCTGTAATTCAAGACATATGAATCATCAATAAACCACTGGTGTTTCCTTTGTTTAATCGAAAAAATATGCAGTTGTTTCATTTGTCGTGAAAGGGGAAGTTGCTACATGCCTTTACAAAGCCTAAGTTAATTTACAAAGAGATTTAAAATGAATATTCCTAATGAATTTGTTTTAGCAAGCCGAGATGAAAAGTACTTGAAATGGAATAAAATTGATAAACATGGGTCGTAATATTTGATGGCGCTGGAATATGAATAACCCAAATACAGTTCCCAAATTCATTGACTTGTATGTGCTTTAGTGAATTTAGCCTCTTTAATTTCTCCAAATAGATGCTTCCCCCCAAAAACAAGGGGAAATTTAACTTCCCAAATAACGGCTGATATAATCTACTTACACTTGACTCAACCTAACTCTTCATTATGTGAAGATTAAACACCATTTAAGTCAAAGGCACATACACACCCTGTAGGTTAATGGGTATTGCGTCGAAAGTCTCAAATCATGGCAACATTTGCCTTGTAAATGGTAAAAGCTAAGGTTTGGGGTGCTTTCCTCAAGAAATTGAATTTAAATGTATTGTTTCAAAAAGATTTCCGAATAGAGTCAATTGCTACAGATTCATTCAATTTTGTAGATGGCAAAGTAAATGTGAAACACATTTAAATTATGTTTTTCACAAAAAAAATTCCAAGTCAAAGATGGATTGAATTGCCTTCATTTTTAATTGTTAGTATGTAGAGCTGAGAGTCCGGCGTTCACATCAATATAGTCACCAAAAAAATGAAAAAAGACAAATAAATCTCGAAAGAGATGATCGTACTCCTCTTGCTGGACTGTGATTTCACTATGATGATGAGAATGACGTCAGAGTGTCACTTTTTCACCCCATTTTGCAGAATACCCACAGAATAGGCCTTATGGACCAATCACAAGCCAGAACCACATATCCGGCTCCAACTGTCCGGGTTCTACACGCAGGCCGCGCCTCTCATTACATACTTTTCATATGTGATTTTCTTTGGTTAGCTACATAACTTCCGTGCATGCCACTGAAACGCAAAAACACAAAGGATTGGCTGAGGCCAGCGTGGTCCAATATGCTTGCCCACTTATTCATTGCTACACTGCCTCCTCAGTTGTCCTCACCTTCTGATGCGGTTCCCTGCGCTGTTAACGATTAACAACGTACCTGCTTCAACACTTCCCAATACCCCACATTTGGCAGGATAGTGGCCCAAGCGAATAGTAGACGAGAGACTTTGCCTTTGATAACTTGCAGGCAGGCCGCATCATCAGTTACAGGTTCCTTGTCCTCTTGCAGTCCAACTTGCTTCTATTGTCCTAGCCGTTGTGAATGACGCCTCCTAATCCTGGGCAATGTCGATGGATCCAGGGTTTGCAGCATCGGATGGATCACCAAAACACCTGTAGCTGGCATTCAAAGGTTCTCACCTTTTAATCCACTGTAGAGGAAGGGCTAGGGTTCCATTTGCGTTGTCTAAAGGCATCCGCTCCCACCAATTTAGAACACCCGAGCCCTAGTATGAAGAAGGCGGGTACATACAACAGGCTTTATTCACCAATCATAAGCCAGAACCATGTGCCAGGCACCATTCACTCGAGTCCTCCAAGCTGGATGCGCCCACGTTATATAATGCTTCTCATATGTGTCTGTCTCTGGTTGGCTGCATATTTGCCTCGCATGCCATTAACACGCAAATGGACAGAAGATTGGCTGGGATCAGTGTGGTCCAATATGTCTGCGCCCATTTACGTCGCAAAATTTTTGTCCAATTTCTGTGCTACTGGATTCTGACTGTATTTCATGGTTTACGCATGAGTTTGGTTCTTGTAAGTTCACTTGCCTCTTTTCTTGTTACTTATAATACTGCCACAAATCAGCTTGTCTCTACGGCCCCATGAATTCTTGCATTTAGATTTTTTGAATCGAACGTCATCAAGATGCTCCGCTTATGGTATTACCGGAACGCCCTAATGTAAAATATCTTCATTGTTTGCTTACATAAAACGCAAATTGCTAGTCCCGTTTCAAATGGCCTTAGTGGTCCAGGATAGCGTTTGATCATTCGTTAACACTCAGATTTTTGTCATGCCCACCCACTGTTTAATAACTTATTATAATCCGGAATCATGGTAATTCATTTTGAAATTATGTAATCTTTTTTTGCTTTGTCCATCATCAGGCATGACGGCAGTTGTAAATGCCATGTCATCTCTTCATTCGACCACAGAGACGAAACCCACTTCCCAGTATGGTGAAGGCCTTGTTTCGGGTCTGGGGCAGTCACAGCCAACTGCCAACTTCTTCCCGCCATGCCAACCGCCAGGCTTCAATCCGTTCATGTACCTCTCCTCCTATGCTTCGCCTTCTACCCCAAATTGTTACTCACCAACTACCAATCCTCAACAGACATTCCCTTCTTCGACTAGTCAGAACAGTCTTGTCAAACCAACGCATCCGTCCACGACATCTTCTGCTTCATCAGCCGGTTCGTTCGTGTAGGTCAATATTTAAGCCGAAGTAGTAGCGCTCATTTTTTAAGAACGCACTTTTTGCACTGCGTGTGAATGCATTGTATCCTCATAACTGAACAAAATGTTTAGTTTTTATCACTGCAGTCCTGCACATTATAGAGTAGTCGGCTTAAATCCTCGAAGATCTAATTGTTTAAATCTTTCCCTGGGTCCAGCTCTGTGCATTTACGCCCACCCACATTTTAATTTTCGTTGACTGGCAATATTTACTAGTCTTAAGAGCCAATGCTCTTCTAAGTGTTTGTATCTAAGATTTTCTGTAATATGTAAACCACACCGGACTTTGCTTTAAACCAGTGAATTCTGAAACACCGTTGCCGCAAAATTTGTCCTAAATCACGATTTCCAGGTGAAAGCTCCTAGGTCGTCGATTACTCTTATTTACTTGCCCTTTAAGTAACTGATATTCTGAGAGTTCGTGATAAATTTGATGCCTATTCCTTGACTGTGGTTTAGCATTTCACCATTCATTTATCGTCATGCTCGACGTCCATCGTCAGAGAAATGGAAAGTGGCTGAATTAATATGAATATCACTGCTTTTGGTTGGCGTTCCTGCGTTCAGAATTAGTGAACCCGCAGTGGGATTATAATGTGGAATGTAATGACTCGCAAGCTCTTAGATATGATTTAGCTGCGTTGTTATTGATTGAGGAGAACTATTGGCAGTGCTGCTGCTGGACTGACGCGTCCTACATGGACCACAGCCCCCATCGTGACTTACTTTGATTAGGATGATGCCACTCTGCTTTATTCAAGCTCGTGTGTTCTACTCCTCGTAGATGTGGTTTATGCGGAAAGGAGTTTGGAATGCGTTGCCGCCTGCTTGCTCACGTGCGGCGTCACACCGGCGAGCGTCCTTTTTCCTGCGTGGACTGCGGACGCGGATTCTCCGACGCGGGGAACCTCCAGCGCCATCGGTACACGCACAGTTCAGAGCCTCGATTCCGCTGCACCGTTTGCGGGAAGACGTTTAGGCAGGTACGCACTTGCGCCTACCTACTTGTTTATGCCTAATTGTCTGCTTTTGCCGCCCGCTTTTGTCTCCTACACTTGATCACTTTTGTGCAAAATCAGTCGAAACATCGATCCACGGCCTGTATTTCATGCGTGTGCGACCTGGGAACTAAGAGTAACTCTCCTCCTCTGCCTAGGCGTCTTGTCTGTCAAACCACCGTAGATTCCATTGTGCCGGAGCTGATGGCCGTTGCTGTGTCTTTTGTCGACGAAACTTCAAGTCCTCGTCTTCTCTGCAGATGCACCTGCGTTTCAAGCACCGTGCTGACGCCGCTGCGGTAGTCGCTGCTGCCGTCACCTCTGCCGTCAGCACAGGCCGCTCTCCTCCCCTCACGGAAAAGCAAGACAAAGGTTTGCGCTGACTTCACTTCCTCACCGCAAATCATTTAGCCGCAGAACAGTTGTTCCCCAAACGTTTAGTGTCAGTTCATGTTTAGCATTGTTCGCTTAGCCCCAAACAAGATCACATTTCACGGTGGAGCATTGTTTAGGTAAATGCGACTCGTTGCCTAGTGACAGAATGCGTGCCTTTGGTGTCGTGGTCCCAAAAAGACATTCAAGTCGAATAAATTGTTAAGTTTGACCTTCACGTTCAATGGGCTTTTGTGGCAACAAGGACCCGTAGAGTGGGTTACGCGTCAGTTTAGGTCCCAGCTAGCCACACGCAGCTTCTACCAAGATACCATCGTCTCTTGATCGCATAGTTGATGGAATTCGATGCCTGTAGAGAGGGGTTTGCTTCTATGATCCGGACGTATTTTCAGAGGATCTAGGTGGGATTTACGGCCTTTCAACAACTTTCAAGCAACTGTTTTGCACCCTTCCCGAAACCCTTTAGATTTGTTAACGGATGAGAGCCGGCTCTTGGCCTCCTGCAGCGACGCCCAATGCGCTGGGTCCTGTTGCAGTCCCATTTCTGTTGCATTTCGACGCGCCAATTCGGATTCGGGCACTCGGCCACCCGATCGATGGCGCAAAAGCCACCAACGCAAACCACCGGCCTGCTGTGAGGCGGGACAGGGCAAGGAAGAAGAAGTATGTGCAGCATTTGCCTTGTTAACCTGACCTGCTTCCCCGTTGTTTTACTGGTTGGGGTCCGCTCGGCGCGCGCCCTTTTAAATTTGCTCACGCTCTGGGTGCGACATCTTTTGTCTGAATCTTCTCAAGCAGTCGGTCCCGGTGTGTGGCTGTCTTGTCACGGGAAACAATTATTGTTTGCAGCATGCCCAAACTACCAGGCGCCACTGCCCTCCTGTGAATACTCCCGTTCGATTAGTTAAAATGCACGATCCTGGAAAGTGTGCTAGCAAATAAGCGTTTTTCTAAGTAGTGTCGACACAAAAATTGGAATAGGACTTTTTCATTACGCCCGAATGCTTTGCTTTTTAGCCTAGTTATGGCGAGGAGAACATCTCGCATACAGTTTTGTGTAACCAGCTAGACAGAGACGACTTGTTCGTTGTTTCATGTTACCTAAAAGGAATACAGCACTGTCCTGCTTAGATGCATAGTCTAGCACGAAACTCTTCATGTAGTCATTATGACTGGATACTCCAGAATAGTAGGTTTATGCTCTCTGAAAAATGATCTTATGTAGTCGTTTCAAGTCCCCATTTAACTATTTGGATCACCACCGGTAGCCTACTTTTATTACCAGGGGCCTTTCTATGGAGGTGAAAATGCGGTAGAGGTGTGTAGATGAAGTTACTTACTTGCCTAAGTCCTTGTAGCAGTTTTGGCGTTCTGTCGACTTATCAAACTCTCTGCTGCATTGGTGTCAAGCACACATTCTGAATCATCACTAGGCGGTGTTTGATTTCGTCACTCCTCGACACGCTGTTCACCTTGTTGTCATGGCGGTGGATGGGTATTTTGTGCCTTCTCATTGTCCGCAGCACCTGTTTATCACGAGGAGCCACGGGTTTTTCTAGGTAGGCGACCTGTTGGGTCTGGACAGGGTGGCCGCGGAACAACTCAAGTTGGCCGTAGTCGCCGTGGGCAGCAGTGCAGCGGCCGCTTCAACGCTGGACGCGAAGGGACGTCCCTGCAACTTCCTCTGTCCCGCCTGCCCCCGTCGATTCGCCTTCCAGTGTCGCTTGGCTGCGCACCTGCGCTCCCACACCAACTTCCGGCCTTTCACCTGCCCTGACTGCGGTCGAGCCTTCACCCAGCGCGGCTACCTCGTGCGCCACGCTGCTGTGCATGCCAACGAGCGGCCCTTCGCCTGCACCCTCTGCGACCGCGCCTACAAGCACTATGGGTCACTGGTGAACCACCGTCGGACGCACACCAAGACTCCCGATGCGGAGTCGACCAGCAAATCGAAGGTGTGTGTGCGGGATGCATTTCTTCCCATTGCTCGGAAGGGACCCGGTGTGTACTTATGTTTTTTCCATCCTGCATTTTCAGCAGGTCGCCACCACCAATTCCTTCGGCCACAGGTACGCGCCAACGATGGCACCAGCCGGTGCGCCACCGCTGTCCGCGTGGGCCTCTGTGGCCGCCCAGTCCCTTGGCGGAGGTGCGACCGCCGCTGTCGCCTTCCCCTTCCCCGCCACCGCTTGTCCACCAACCTCGCACCAGCAGCAGCAGCACCACCACCAACAATCCTTCTTTTTCCGTTCTCCCTTCGGCCATCTGCCCACACCCCAGTGACAGCCTGCGTCTTTCATTGCCCTTCTCTCATTCTTTCGTTAATGTCTAGCCTCTACGCGCACATGCATACATATTTTATGTACATAGCTAATACAAGTGGGTCTGTTTTCTGTTCTACGATGCGTCTTTCACCATTCGCATTGTGAATTTTATTGCAAACCAATTCGTGTAGCAACCAAACGCCGGTGAGCCATGAAACTCCAGTGATTGGGGCGTTGCGGGAAGACGTGATTTCATGAGGTGTGGTGGTCTGTCGTGAATTGGATCGAAACTGGATCCCAGTTCAACTCGGCTCGCGCTTTTTGTCCGTGCGACTACAAGTTCACCTCAGGTTTTGTTACGTTTGCCCGTAACAAAGAGAAGACCACTCAAATAACGGTACCAGATCCCTCGCTGAAAGCTAGAACCGACCTTCCCAGGCTAATACCAGAACAAAACCAGAGCTCGAGTAGAGAGCTTTATTCACGCCAGCCACGTGCTGAGAAGTCGTGAAATCGAAAGTAACTTGAAAGCTATCTCAAGTCAAGGTTGACATTGACTTGATAAAATCGTAACAAAACAAATGTTAGTAAATTAATGTAAATAGAATCAGAAACCAATCTTGGGGAATCGTGGATCCCCAACATTTTCACGTTTGACGGTTTGGGCTGAAATTTGTGCCCAGCAGACTCGTTAAGTTCACCACATCCATTCCTAGCCACCCTGCCCACCCATGAAGTTGGTACGAGAACCGGGGTAGGGCTAGTGGCTAGCATTCTTTGTAGACTAAGTATGATAACCAACATCGAGTCTTTCCTTCTCTTCACGTATGCTAATGCGGTATTCAGTGTACTTTAAGCTTTGCACTAAAATGTACTTTGTAAGCCACACTGGTTCCTTTTAATCAACACGACAGCTTTGTGTTTCGTAGGCTCCGTAACTTTTCGAAAATAACAAGGCTTAGACTACTTTTGTGTAGGTTTGTGATTCAAAATGTACTTTGTAATCGTCAAAATTGCCAATTAAATTTATGGGTGGGCGATGTCGGGGGATTTTTAAGACCACTGCTCGAATAGCAGCTTCTGTAAAAGCCATAAAATCGATAATTTTTTTGACTGTAGGTAGCTATATGGATTTTCGCCCTAACCTGTCATGCGATTCTTAAAGTATTTAGCAACAATTTCGTAACTTAACCTCTCTAATTTACGCAATTTTTTCCCGAAATACCCCTTTCTTATCAAAATTGAAGAAAAGTTGGGGAAATGATGGCGATTGGTGCTTTTGCATTAACGCTCTTTCTTGGCATTATGGATATTCATATTGGATGAATGATTTAATGAACACAGAGTTTTCTGCAAATTTATTCTACATTAAAACATAGTTAACAACGAACTTGATCTAGGAAATATAGTCCATCCCTTTCTATGAACTGGCGTCATCTCTCAGGCTTCACACGCATACTGCCGCGAAAGAAACTTACAGGCGTCCAGAAATGTTTGTCCACTAAGGCGTGCTACTGTTGCATTGACCGGAAAAACACTGGTTGGATGGGGCCAAGTTTGGTGGGGAGAACTTCCAAACCCTGGTTCAAGAGGGACTTCCGAGTCGCGCGAGCAACGTGATGCTGAGCGTTGGCGCCCGCTTCCTTGCCCACTAAACGGCCTTTCCTGATCTAGGTCTTCGCTCAGGTTGTTCAGTTGTCGACTGCAGCGTTCCTCAGTCGCCATCTGACGACTAGTTTCCAGGAATTCATACTAAACTGCACTCTTTATGTCCCCCACCATGTACCCAGGAGAACCTTCTTCAAGTGAATGTCCTATTTCGGTGTCCAATAAGATCGAAATAACCACCTCTTAAACGTTTGCACCAAGAATATTACAAATTGATTACCGCGTTTCAGAAGCACTTTTTCTTGTTGGAATGCGCATAAAGTGCACTGCCGAGTGTGGCGTTTATCAGCTGCCATCGTAAAATCTGGTATCCTGAGAGATTATGTAACTCAGATGGACTTATCGTTCGGTATTCTAAAACCACATGCCCGATCTTTGGGGAGCAAGTCTGTGCAAATGAAGGCATACACCCTAAATAATGTTTAACTGCTTGAATTCTATTCAGCGTCCCGCATAGGCATATTTATTGACGATTAAACACGCCTTTATACTAGGTTTAACAACTGCCAAATGTGCCTATCAATGATTCTCTAGAGATGGTGATTAAGCAGGTTCATCCTCGCTATATAGACCTTTTCCAAATCCTTGAATTTCCGTTCCACGACGCCTGCGTCCCTCGTCATTGCCTTCTGCAATGCGTGAACGCTCAGAGCTGCTTGCAAAGGGATGCTTCCGGTTGTGAAAAAATTTAGCTATTTTTTACCAGGTTGCTTCATTTTCACTATCGAAAGTAATAAAAACGCCGGTATTTGGTCATTCATGTCTTTGGCGTTGTGCAGCGCCAAGGCCGATTCATCTACGCCTGTCCAGATGCCAGTGGTGTTGCCGCATAGCCCTGAGTCAAATTAATTCCTATTTTATTCACACTTAAAATGCATGTATGTGCACAAATAGGCTCAAAAGAGTACTAGCCAAATCGTAGTAGAGACTTCATTGCGAGGTTCCGACGCAAAAGCACTTTTTCGTACATTTCGGCAACCTCATTCCACCCTTCATTACTTTTGTTCGATCAATAACCGAGTAAAGGTTAATGGAGATAATGTCACACGTACAGATGTTAAACAAACGGTGATTGGCCCGCATTTATTTTGAATATACCCCTGGAGATTTCCCAAAATGAATTTCTAGAAGTAAAATGTTTGTGAGGATGTAATTTGGAATTCCCAAGTTATGTTTCAGAAGTACATCAAGTACATTCAAATAAAAATCGTTCATGCAACCGTGCGTTGGCCCAGCTTATCATGATTGCAAGGAACTCATGTGGGGAAAAGATGAAGCAAATTTCACGAAAGGGTGAAACGATTGCTTCTGCTGCCCAAATTGAGCTTGGTTTAACCAATCTTCTGGCCTCTCATGTGATACTCATTTATCAATTTGAGTTTTTCTGCGCCTCGGTTTTGTGCCTATTTGGTAGAGTGGTTGAGTGCTCATGCTGGTACCCTGTGAATGATCGTTTTATTTCGGTACACTGAAATTTATCGAGAAAGTAAAAATGCCCAATAATATTAGGTGAATGAAAAATCAGTGTACTACCTAATTATAATAACTTGAAACAAGTATTATATTGTCAATTTTGGCTCATGGACTTTGTTTAAAATAGCACGTTAGATCGTCATTCAAGGGCAAAGTCAGCCGAAAATGTGCAAGCAGGAAAGCCAAAGTCAAAGTTTTAATACTGTTACCGCGAGAAAAAGATTTCATGGTGTTTAAAAAACCAATTGTCTAAGCAATTTTTTATGCTACAGCGTTCAAACGTCTGTCATTGACATGCCCATAAGGACGGCCGAAAATGGCTGAGGTTGAGCAAATCACCATCAAAGATGATTGCGCGATAAAAAGTCCAATGTCACAAACACCAGACCAGATCTGGAACAGTTTTCTGCGTAGAATTTAAACACAAACAAGACACTGGCAATCCAGTATTACGCAAAATCGATTACAATCCATTACCGCTAAACCAATGGTCATTCAGCTGGAATCTAGAGTGAAGGATGAAATTCTTACCTAGTGATTTTGCCCCCTTTCGTTCTTGGAGTACAATGCAAAACGCTTCAGACTGTTCCATTAATTGGTTGCCATAATAACGTCAAATATCCAAATGATCGATTTCAGCAGAGAGATCAGCTATCCTAGCAAACCTACTATACGTAGAAGTCAAAAATCTCTGACAGTTGTGGATGGCCTGGTCCGGGAAGGTAGCAACGTGTCATCCAATAACATCGGAAGTTATCCGTATGAATCATAATTTTTAGTTATCATGCAATATTGTCAATAAAAACAGTCTCATTCAGCAATAGCATCCTCGGCCCAACCATTTCCTTATATGTCATTTCCGATTAACAAAAAATGAACAAAATGCCAGAATACACCATGCATAGTTTACTGAGGGGAAAATGTCTTAGCTGAAGTACTACATCTGTTGTATGAATGCATACAAATGGCTGAAGTGAATTTTGAGACAGCTCTGGGTGCTAAATGTACAATAATGGTGCACCATTGCCTGTACCAATACCAAAGCTACCTTAGAGGTTTCTATGGTGTGAAAACCAATTGGGTGGCCGGAAAATTGACATTTTTAATAACTGTGTTATTCAAAGTCCTTAAAGAAATTGTCGTTCAAATGCCACAAAATGATGTTTTTATCAAAACAGGTGTACAACTACATTGAGAGTAGCTACGATTTAGAAGACATGTGTACCAGCAATGTCAAACGGCAATAGCAAAAATTGAAGTCCGATCTACGAAGCAATTAAATTGCTGGGTCACAGTAAAGGAGTAAGAAATTGACCTTCTTTCAAACAGCTGGTTTGAGATGCTACTCGTCTTTTGTGTTAAGCTCAACCACAAAAAAATTGTTGATTGTTCTGTGATCTTGGTAGGCCTGATGGATCACAAGACACTGCAAGTTCCAAAAGTCGTGTAATGCTCTATCAACTAAAGAGAGAATTTGTATTCGGAATCGAACTCTGGAAACTGCCTACGGTAAGAAAAATCTGATTACCTTAGCTTTCATTTGCCCAGTGGGATGCTTTATCAGGTAATTCACTGAAAGCCGCATTAAACATTAACTATATTTGTTCAAATAAACCACCAGATTGGTTTTTATGGACATTTCTCCAAGTATTGCCAACCGCTAAAAACTAACGTTATTGGCTGTAAAAGACGACTTTTATTTATTTTTTTATTTCGATTATGAAAATATATGATCTCACAAAGCGCGTTCTGGTATTACCGAATACTATAATATTTTGTTGTCAAAGGTCTATGATAGCGCCAAAAGTAATCTCAGGAAACTAGGACGACATGTCTCCCAATTGCTCGACACAACAGTTCAATAATTACCTGCTGATGATTCTACCATAATAGCAATTAGAACAGATACGAATGTGGTTTATCTGATGCATCTATGCTATAAAACCACATTGTATGGTGAATGGGATTGCTTTATCGAGTTCTCATGACGCGATTTACGGGAAAGTACACCATACATGTGGTCGCTGCCAGTGTTTTAAATTACACATCTAAGTTTTTAAAATAGCTCAAGTGTGCTGCGGGTGATTAAACACTGATGAAAAAACAGCAGACAGAAAGTATCAATGGGCTTTAAACAACATTAGCGATTATTCTTGATATACCTTCCAACAATTTATAACGCACAGCATAGAGAATTCCAAAAGACTTTGAGTGACAATTATTAGGCAAACATATTCAGCCTAATAAAATTTCAAGCATTATTCATAACACTGGCTTTGTTAATTACAAAATAGATATCTATTCCGCCAGAGTAACTCATTAATTGAATTACTCTGTTGACGGCAGTGAGTGGATAACTTTACAAGGCCTCACCCTAATATTTGCCAAAATATACTTTGCATTTTTTTAATTTTGAGATAGGAATTAAAACACTTCAAATATTTTAAAAATGATCAAAAATATTAGTTACCTATGTATTTGTATTAAAAGAAACTTTAAGGTCACTTTGAAACTTTTTATAGCATTCTTTGGTCGCAGCGCCTATTTGGATTGCGTGGGTGATTGTTCTCATTGGTAGTTGTTGTGATCATGGACTACCTCCTCGCATTCTCTGCGCACGAATTTATCAATTTTCGGGAGCTGGAAGTTCGTTCATTACTTGAATTAAACGGACTGAGCCAAGACTGTGTTCCTTGTGAAACAAATTGGACCGCCCCCTACATTTCCATCCAACTTCCCAACGATGCCGTTGCTGCCAAGCTTATTGAGCGCAGCGTCCTGGTGAAGTCAATATACTCAATATGGACTACTGCAAGTTGCTTTGATGAGCTCTTGTCTAAGGTCCCAAATTTTCCACGCACTTTCATTGATAAATATTTGTATGGGAGCGAATCGTATAAAATTATCATCAGCTCAGTTAACAAACGTGTTCCCCAAGATGATCGCATGCTTTACATCAGGAGGCTTATCGATGCCCATGTCGGAGCCACTTCACCGGTGTCTCTCGACAATCCAACTGTAAGTAATCACTATCTACTCCTTAAACTTTCTCTAGAACCAAATTCATGTTATTTTTGAATTCACAAAAGCTAAAGCCCACAACAAGGACCAGAGTCTGGTTCGAATTTACTATGGTCGGTTAGTGGGCGAGAGTTCCCGGAAGCGTTTACTTAGTGAATTCGATTTGTCCAAGCGGACCTACCTCGGCAACACCACTATGGATGTGCGGTTGGCGGGGATCATTGCCAATGCCTGTCTGTGTAGTCATGGCGACATTGTTTGGGATCCCTTCATTGGAACCGGTGGCATGGTGCTTGCGGCGTCCGTATGGGGAGCCTTCGGTGCTGGAAATGATATCGACTATTCCCTCGTTCATGGACTCGGAGCTTCTCCCAAGGCCGGCCAGGTAATTTTCGCTAATCTGTACTCAAGCTCTCTAATTTTTTCTTACTTCAAAAAGTTTCTTTTCGAGCTATTTTGGGGTTTTGAATTTCGACCACTTGCTATATTTGATTTGGAGGTGGAAAGCCACCTTTTCACAAATTGGACGGTTTTTCTTACGCCTGTCTAGTGTTGTTAGTGAAAACAGAAGTGTGTAAGTAGAACTATTCAGTCAAGCGTCACCTTAAAAAAGGAAATCCTGAACCAATGCCACCTTTCCTGAACTTTGAAAGAACTTGTCTATTTCCCTTCTGGCATAATTTATTGAGCAATTGAGTTCTCTGGGGGACAAAGTCTGAGCACATGTAACGTTTTCCAAAGTTTACCCAAAATGCGTGTTAATTTGACCGTTTTCAGACTTCCAGACCCTAGACTTCCTTAACTTGTAGGGAACTTTCTTTAAACGAGCGCAAGTGGAGCTTATTCACGAGTTAATCGAATGTCATCGATCGTCGATTACAATTGACGGTCGATATTCACTCACGCACTCTGCTATAAAAGAATTGGGCGGTCCAATGTAAGCAAACGTTTGTATTCGCTATCACCTGTCTAGTCTCTCTTCTCTGGTTGTTACGGTCTGTTAACCAGCAGGTTTGGATGGTAGTGCCGACGAAGCCGCTACATTTGGTGGTCGCGACGTGATTTGCACACTCAATCTTCCAATATATCTTAGTGCCCATGTAGTGACCGCGCACAAACCGTGGCCTTCGGAAATGGTCAACTTCAACAGGACGGCGTAGTGATGTGTATCGAAGCTAGATTATGATTTTGCCTGCCTTTTAAACCCCATTTCTTTACCAGGGCAAACGCATGAGTGGGGAGTGTTTGCGGGCGAACTACAAACAATACAATCTTCAATCGCGCTATCTAGACGTGATCATTGCGGATGCAGCATCGCTGGTTGCTCTTTTACGCAACCCCAACGAGCGTCTCCTTCCCGAGGCGAGCCAAAGTGTAGCGCCAGCGACTGGGCTTTTCGACGCCATCATCACGGACCCACCCTACGGCGTGCGAGAGCGCAGCTGTCGGGTTGCGAGTGAGGCGGTTGAGAAGGAACCCTCCTTGCAGACGGAGGCTTATATCAACATGATCACTGGCGGGTAGGTTCTATCATTTAAATAGACTAATGATTTGTATTAAGTATATGTATGTTCCTTTTAAAAGGCTTCGTGATAGGGCGAGATATAATGGCGTAGGTTAGGCGCTGGCGGTAGAGGTGATTTGACAGACCTCACAGCGGAGAATTCACCCAAGCTGGTTGTCCAGGGTACTCCTCAAGTCGAGAGGCGCTCTCCTGTGTTATCGGTGACTAAATATTTTACCTTACTCTACCAATTTCCGCTTTTTCATGTCGTCATCGATACATGCTGATTTGGTGTCCGTATCATCCCACACGTTTTGTCAAAACCAACTTTTTAATTGGTTCAAATTCTTTCCTGTCGAATAGACACGTCATGCCTTTCACTAAGCCCAAACACTGCTTGCTCTTCGTGGTTACGTTGCTTTGAAGACACTTGGAGGTGGTTTTCCTGTTGTGTGCACCAAGCAGTAGGCATCGCCTCACCCAAATCGATAATTACCCCACTGAAGTGGTCAATTTCAGGTTATCCCGAGGTCCGGCCAATTCACCTTGTTAGACAAATGTGTACTGCAGTAGCCACTCCCTACGGGCTGAATAAACGTAATGCTCCCCATGAAACACAAGGGCTGGTTGCTCTTTGAGTTTGAGTTGCGTCTCGGACACTTTGAAAGGTTTCGATTTTTGGATCCACTTAGTGTCGTGTGCACTGCCTCACCGAATCCCATCATGCATGGGCCCATCGTGCTCAGAAACTGTTTCTTTTTTCACCCTCAAGCAAACAATTTGCGATGGTTCCAAACAAAGACGGCCTTGTACCGGTTCCGCATGACCTTCCGCATTACCCGCACAAGGTTAGTGCCTCCACCTGCCGTCCCCCTTCTCCCGTTGTGGCTTCGCTGGTACCTGAAATTGCTGTGTGTTGTATGCGTGTGTCGGTTGTTGAGTAGCTCGTCACTTCCACTAGAGCTTGTAGTTTGGAAGCTATATCCAAGGCTGGCTTTATCGAAGGTGCATGGATTCGCTGTTCCCGTGTCGAATGTGTCAACCAAATTGCCTTCAGCATGTCTGTTGCAACGTGATTTGTCGAAATCCCCTGCGGATGCATGCATTCACGCGTTCTCTCCAAGCAAAAAACACGCCATCTGCTGTTATCTTAATTTAGTTTAATAAAGTGGGCTTCTTGTACGGCACTGTTTGTTTTGTCCGCTAGGAGAACTACCCGCTGCAGGAGACATTTGGTGACTTGCTGCGCATTGCCGAGCGCTTCCTCAAGCCCAAGGGTCGCCTGGTGTTCTGGGTGCCCGTGAGCAAGAGCAACTACACAGGGCCCTCCTCGCTGCCTGCTCACCCTCGCCTCAAACTCGTCGCCGTCTGCGAGCAGGTAACTCCCACCCCCTGTGCTCACCAAATCGCCAATGTCTCGCCTCGTTCATGACAAACGGTACCTGTGTGTTTCAGGCACTCAATTCACGAATTTCCCGGTTCCTCATGGTGATGGAGAAGTTGGCGGCGGAAGAGCCCGACTTTTGTCTTTCAGCGGAGACCCTTAACGAGACGGTGGACGATGATGGCGTGATGACGAATCCGAGCATTCGCGGCATCCCCTTCCATTTGAAGAACTTCCGCGAGACCTACTTCCAACAGAGGGCAAACCGATGAGCGAGGGACACCAAGCGTACTTCCGTTGTAAAATCTGTACACAAACAACCTTTCTCCGAGTGACCCTTCCTATGTTAGCATGACTCGGCGGACCGTGGGGTAAAATCGGTGTCGGAATCAGGAATGATGTGGTGTAAATGGCGTAGAATGACTTTGTTGCTTCACGTCGCCAATAATTCAACGTGTAGTAGTAGCAGTATTGTGGGCTGGCGTTTTCGCCTCGCTTTATCGGACGACAGATTGTAAAAGTGAGCAGCAGAGAAGCTTAACTGAGAACTCAGCGGACATATCGAAGTTAACACATAGCTCAGTCCCAGTAATTCATACAAGTGGTTTTACTGTACTTCTAAACGGCCTTACAAGTACTATTCAGCGAAAACTAAAAAGGATCATCCCCTGGGATCCAAAGTCAGCATGTCAAGAAGTGCCTTGAACGAGGAGGAGGCCAGAGACTCGGCAATCTATTAGACGACTCAACTTAGTTGTGTTTTGTGCGTAGT